TCTTTCTTCCTTCCCTTAAACGCTGAGTCATTCCAGCGTTGCCAAAAATAAAAGCTCCATCATGCTTAACTATCATACTTGTACTTGTGCCAGTCATCAAGGATAAAGCTGGGAAGATTAATGGCATTGATAATTACAGACCCATTGCTTTAGCTAGCATTCTCTCCAAAGTGTTGGAGAAAATTCTGTTGGATAGGCTGGAAAGGTATATTACCACAGCTGACAACCAGTTCGGTTTTAAAAGAAAACACGGCACAGATATGTGTATTACATTATAGCAAAAATATATAAGCCATAATTCCACCACGTTTCTGTGTTTTATTGATGCTTCCAAGGCATTTGATAGACTGAATCATTACAAATTATTTGACAAAATGTGCCAGAGAGGGGAACCCAAGTACATAATAAGGATCTTAGCCTTTTGGTATGCACATCAGACTATGCAGGTGAAGTGGGGCAATACTGTGTCTGAACATTTTTATGTTGGTAATGGGGTCAAGCAAGGTGGGATTTGATCTCCTTTGTTGTTTAATCTGTACATGGATGATCTGTCGAGGAAACTGAACTTGTGTAAAACTGGCTGTGTCATCGGTGCTACTGTTGTCAACCACTTTATGTACGCAGATGATTTAATCATCTTTTCCCCGTGCAGTGCTGGCTTACAACAGCTCCTGAGGACTTGTTCCCAGTATGGCATTGATTTTAATATTAAGTATAACGCCAAGAAGAGTAACATCATGTTTGTACGAAGTAAAGAGGATAAAAAGGCTGTATTTCCTCATTTTATTCTCAGTAGCAACATTCTACTTGTGTGCAGTGAGATCAAGTACCTTGGTCATTATATTTCTGATGATCTCACAGATGACAAAGACATCCATAGACAGCGCTGCAAACGGTATGCCCAGGCAAACATATGAATGCGTAAGTTTCACAAGTGCTCTGTAGATGTCAAGGTATCATTTTGTAAAGCTTTCTGTTGTACACGGCTCACCTGTGGAGTAACTACAAGACCAGAAGCATGCAAAAACTAAAAGTTGCATACAATGATGTTACGGTTGCTGCTGAGGGTACCACGATGGCACAGTGCCAGCCAGCTGTTTGTTAACTTGGGGGTACCTACCTGTCAAGCCCTTTTAAGAAAGTTAATGTACAAATTCATGTGTCACCTAGTAGACTCGGACAATTATGTTATTTCAATTTTAATTAACCCTGTGAAGAGTTCTACCCGGTTCTCTTCCATGATTTGAGACATTGGTGCAATAGCCTATACAGACAGTGAGCATGTGTGGCTCGCTGTGATTGGACTGATTTTATGTTTTTATCTGTTTGTTTTTATCTGTTTTGTGTTTAGCTTTTTATCTTATTTATTGATGTGTGTTTTGTCTTTTTGTGCGATATGGACCTTGAGTCTGGAATAAAGATTGGAATTATCATCCTCTTCCCTTTTTGTCCTCCTTTGCCTTTCGACACAACTTAAAATTTTTTTCGATAATAAACAAATGAGTCGGACCAGTTTAGCTTTCATTATAGCTTCGTCAGTAAAGGGAAGAAAAGGCTTCCGGCTACGGGCTGAACAAACTTTTGTTAATATTACATCAGTCATATGAACCCGGTGAATGAGCAGAATATGTCTTCTTTTGGTAATGTTGTATTTTAAGACCATAACATTTCTGCTTTTACTTAAGTAAACGAACCAAGTTCTTCTTCCACCTCTGTACGCCCCTATACAGTTTGACATATCTGTTATCTTAATGAATACATCCATCAGGTTTCTCCACGTCGGAAAGGCAACAGATGAACCTTCACTAACACACAGTGCAAACACCGAGGCCAGCTGTTAAATAGTTCAGATGACGTCCGCCACACAGTGAAACAACATCTGCTAAAGCAAACAACTCTGCATGCCAGAGAAAACAGCCCCGATATATATTGCTTTAGAGTTAGTGACGCTCTAGTAAAGCCCATGTTAAGTAAACTATGGAAAAAACTAATAGTGCACAAGGGAAGCAGTAACCCACCTAATTAATGATAGCAATACTAGATTGTAAAGCACCCTTTTCCCAAGCGAACTACAATGTAGTAACTACTAAATTATATTTGGTGACTTTCCAGCATTGCTATCTATCCACAAAAGGACAGAGAGAAATCTAAGGTCTTCCTTTCCTGTGTATGTGTTACTTCCATTCTTGATATCAGATCTCTGCAGCCACACTGCTGTGGTTCTACCATCCACAGTATCAGTGGTTAATGTTGGAAAGAGTAGGTGGTCTCTGGTGGTTTTGCGGGGTTCAACGGGGGCAACGTGATCCTCCGTTGCTGAGCCCAGGCTGCACAACGGAATAAAGATTTACCAAGAGGATTTACAGAGCAGCAACTTCATTTTTTGTTAATAAGCCACACTTAAGCCAATAATCAAATACCTACCAGGCTGAAGGAAAACCAGTGCAAAAATCACCTGATCTTAACCTGGCAGCTTTAAACCCGAAAAAAAAACATTGTATCAGACTTGGTTAATATGCTTTAATTGTGGCATTTCTAATCTCCCTCGGTATGTGCTGTGCTCTCAAAGCTGTACGGCAGCCCCTTTATGATGTAGGGCTATTTAAAAAGTCACATAACTGCCCTGCCAGCCACGTTGTATCAGCTGGTCAATAGAAGAGCACACTATAGATATTCATTCAGCCATAAAACATTGTGGGCCAGCAGGAATGCATGGGGTAAAGAAACAATGTAAAACAGCAGGCATGTAAACCTGAACTCACATGGTCAGTATAATGTCACTGTGATTCAATGAGTCAGGAAACGAGTGTAATGGCCATTGCAACTAATTGAGTCGAAAGCAATACAGTCACACCAATTCATCTTAACGAAATTGTGTATTTTAAATCAAAATGCACGGATTTGACTAGTTCCACTTGCTAAAATGTTAATAATTAGGCTCTTTGTCGGATAAAAAAAAAAGATATACTTGGTTTGTGAACTGTTAAGGACAAATAAAGGAATTTGAATTCGTTATTGTTGTAAACAAAGAAAATAATCGGTTAATCGATCAAATCAGGTGCAAATCAATTGCTGGTCGTAACTTAGGAGTTTTTAAATCAAAATGCCATAATTTTAGTAGTTTTACCTGCTCAAATGTGGGTATTTCCTGCTCTTTTTTTACTATATAAAACAAATATATTAAGGCAAAACAAGGAAATAGAATTAGTAGCTGCTTAGTCGATCAAATAAGGTACACATGAATGCATTTAACACTATTAGCCGCTGCATCTGATGGAAATGTGAATATAGTACATAATAAACTGCAGCTAATACAAAATATAAATGATTGAGGACATTAAAGAAGCTACAAGATTCAGAACTGCCTGGATGGATAGCAGAAAATGAAAAACGTAGACGTAACCGTAAAATATAATATCTAACAATATATATATCGAGTATAGTGTAGTGCAGGGAAACGTAATTATAAATCAGATTAGCTGTAAAACAGGGCCGAGGCTATATACAGGACGGTCCTGTACACAACGCCAAATGGCTATGTACAGGACCGTCCTGTACACAGCTCTCTGAAATGGCTATATACAGGACGGTCCTGCACAGAAGCCCTGAAATGGCTATATACAGGACGGTCCTGTATATAAGGTCTCTGAAATGGCTATATACAGGACGGTCCTGTATATAAGGTCTCTGAAATGGCTATATACAGGACGGTCCTGTATATAAGGTCTCTGAAATGGCTATATACAGGACGGTCCTGTATATAAGGTCTCTGAAATGGCTATATACAGGACCAGCCATTTCAGAGACCTTATATACAGGACGGTCCTGTATATAGCCATTTCAGAGGGTTGTGTACAGGACGGTCCTGTATATAGTCATTTCAGAGACCTTATATACAGGACCGTCCTGTATATAGCCATTTCAGAGGGTTGTGTACAGGACGGTCCTGTATATAGTCATTTGGCGTTGTGTACAGGACGGTCCTGTATATAGCCACTCCCGTAAAACAGTGCAATACCATGATACTGTTACGTAGTTCGCTGTTGCATCAGAACCGGCTTTCTCAGTCAATGACCATAAAGTCAGACAGCCATGTGTTTAAATACCTCGTTTTTTACACTTCTCTGATATTTGTATTACGCGTTAATTCCCACTCACCTTGTGCTTCAAATGTGCCCTAAAAGCTTGAAAAGAAACAAAAATTCACAAAGGGACCCCGGCGTAGACGAGCACCAAGGACAACAATGAGGAGTGAGCAACTTCCGATGGAGACAGCCGTATTGACGAACCACGTGGACCAAACGGGGAGGAGGTAGGCAAAGTTGAACTGTGCTCTCTGATTGGCTGCAGCGAGGGCGTCTGTTTAGCCTGCTCAGCCAATCAAAGCAGAGACTTCCAATGTGGGTTTGGGAAAACGCTGTGTTAAAGTTACCAGCACCATCTGTTTACCTTTCATTGACCAAACACACACTGCATGTACTCTGGACGCATGTGACATCTTGAGCTCTTCTCATGTAATGACTGTCACCCCAAAGCAATACACTATCTGTATTTATAAATATAACTATTGAGAAGATTTCCAATTTATATTAGGGTTGAAGTCATTACATTACATTAAGCTGACACTTTTATCCAAATTAACTTACAGTAAGTGCAAACAAAAAATAACAGGTGTTTTATTACCACAATACTTTCATTAAATGCATTTTTAATGGCCCAACTTCTTCTTTTATACTACTACTAAGCATGCATATGTTTAGTAAAAGAAAAAGGAAGGGAACTAGTAGTAGGTAAAAGACTCAAACGAGAGGCTGCTCAAGTTTTAGGTAATATTGCGTCATTCACAGTGTAATAAAAACAGTTAGCATAAAAGTAAGCAATGTTTAGAATATGGAAACACATTGAGATGACTTGAAAACCCTATTTTAACTCATATCTTGGCAACATTTCCTATACACTCTCTCAAAAAAAGGTAAGCCGATGTTCATATAAGCAAGTGGTGCAAGTGCAGAATTACAAATCTGTTTTATTGAGAAAGTGACATGAACTTGTCTTAAAAAAGGGAATAAAAGAAAACAGAGAAAGAAAACACTTCCAACAATTCACCAATAAAGAAAAAATAACTTTGTCATCACTGCTGCGGATGAGAGAGGGGGGATGGGGATTTGGGAGGACATGGGGTCGGTCTCGGCTTCTTTCAGAATCGTCCGGAGCGCTCTCGGTCCCTCGACCTTCTCGGCCTCTCGCGGTCCCGCCGCCGGTCCTTGGATCGGGAGCGCCGTTCCCTGGGGCGCGCGCCAGGGTCAGGCCTGGTGGCAGGAAAGACAAATTAATCCACAAATCCTTTTCTGACCCCTAAGTATGAATGTAAAAATGTCTTTACCCTTTCCTGCGGCGGCCGTACAACTCCCGCCGAAGTTCCCGCGATATGGGTTTCAGGTGCATGAAGTTGCAGAAGCCTCCTCTGGTACACTCCCTGCAGGAAACCCAGCACAGGAAGGGTTAAAGCTCACCCCACTGGTATTTAATGGAGCCGGGCCATGAAGGAAAAGTGTGTTACACAATCTGAGCAGCATGCGAGCCCACCAGAGGAAAATCTGATCCTTATCACCCCCCCCACACACACACGTTCGTGCTATCGCTGGCGGAGCAAACAACCCCCGCTCCAATGGAAAAACACTGACTCCTAAACAAGGAGAGGAGCGCTCGCTTCCTCGCACTGCAAATAACGTTTATCTTTGCATTTAAAATGATAAATCACACAGAGAATATATTTAAAAGGAGCAGGGCAGATGATATTGTTGTTTGTTTGTGTGCGGTTTTGATCTGAATCTGCAGGCACTCTTCAGTGTCTCACCCCATCTCGTACTGGCGGCAGCAGGCTTCCCTGAAGTCGGTGACGGGGGAGAGCTCTGAGTGGACGGCCTGGGCGTTGAACCAACGATTGTTCAGGTCCATGACAGCTTTCTCTGCGTCCTCCTCTCTGCGAAACTACACACAGGGAGTACAAATACTTAGGATATCTGAGGAAGCAGCAAGTTGCTGCAGCAAATGTGAAACAAATGAACACAATGACACTGTATTTACATAAAAAGCAAGTTTAATCTAACATGGCCTTCAGTTTTTCTCCTCCCATTGCACTTCTTTTATCATCTGGTACGCATATTTGATGAAAATGAACTATAGGAAAAGGTTTTCTGCCACAAGAAGGTTTCACGTTGGAGATGTTCCTTCTCTACAGACTTTAGAAGTGATTGTTTCCTGCTGAATGAAAGTAAGAAATCCTTAAAGGTGGGAGAGCTTCAGTCTGCCATCAGGGGTTATACAAATCATTTGAAATAAAGTTGTGTAACATATTCTGTTCTGCAAGGTCTCACTAAATTCAGCCACATCCTTATGGGATTTTTAATTCAGTGTTTTTGCATTCGCTCCCTCTCTCGTGAATACATTAAGATCCGTTACCAACCTTAACGTAGACATTTCCGACGAGGTGGTCGCCCAAGTTGTCGCACACGTTCATCTCCTCCACCTCTCCGTACTTCTCCTCCATCTCTGCGAACACCTCCTGTATTGGAAATGAGAGCAAAGAAATAACAATTAACATGTGAAACGGGATATTGATGAGGTTTTATTAATACTTATGTGATACCGTTATGTATTATGATACAGTTTACATTTGGATTTATATCCACAGATTACCTCGAATGACCTTATCCACATATCCAGGATTGATAAACAAGGTCACAATTAGGCAAATAAAACATTTGTAAATATGAACGACTCTTATGTTGACGCCACGTCAAATGGTCACTCACCTCGAAGAACTCGTCATAGTGCTCCTGCATTTCCACATCGCTGACAGCACCTGCAACATGTCAACAAGGGACGGTCAGGGCAACACCACAGTGTTCACATGGGCCGTGTGACTTTAAACAAACACGTCTAACTGACGCCTGATAAGTCTTGCTATCAGGGCTCGAGCTTAAGGACGTCCCGTCGTCGAAAAAAATAGTGTCGGGGAGGATAAAAAATCATTTTGGGACGAATTTGGGACGAGAGTTAAAATAAAAATACCCTGCTAACTCTACTACAAATGGCGATGAAAATGAAACCGACTGCACGTTTTGTGTAGCACACAGTTATTAAACCTCCTTGTCAACATAAACACACACGCACAAAACATTTAGAAACCCGCGAAATACACACACATGTAGCTACAGCTGGGCCCGCGAATTTGCGGGTCTAGCTATGTACTGAGTGTGTGTATTTCGCGGGTTGAGTGATGTACAATGGCATCCCGTGGAGGAATTCTGAAATGTTTTACCGTTACATCACAAAAACGCACAGCAGAACCAGACCCTGGAGCGCCGGCCTCTTTATTTACTTACTCCTCTTCATCCCCTATGGGTAATAAGGCTGAGGTGAGAACTCTCCATCGTATTTAGTCCTCTCCCCATGTAGGGATGGGTACCGAGCCCCGGGCCGGAATTATTAAAGACAGTGGTACCGTGAAGCTCCGACGTTATCTGACTTTTTGTCGGTACTGGGGACATTTAAAAAATATATGTCATATGTATTATTGCTACATACACATTATATCGCAGTTTTAGTTTCGCCAACTCCGTTTCTAATATGCAATAAGACTACAACATGCGTCTATGATGTATTTTCGAGCTTTCCAATCCAGACGAGATCTCTCTCTCCCGTCTGTGTGCGAGGGGGCGGGGCCGTTTGTAAAGGCCTCCTGACTGACAGACTGTCATCCTGGTTAGTGGTTACTCTGGGTTCTGTCTTCAGGACGGTGTTAGATTGTTTTTGTTAATCGGATGGGACTTGATTGGATTCAATATTAGAGTAACTTTCTCGTTTGTGTGTTTGTTTAAATATATTTGGCCTTTGTTTATGTGATTGAATGATTTACTCAAATAAAAGGTTGATGAATTATCATCTAATGATTTGTATGATGTTTTATTTATGTTAAAGGTCACTTTAAATGATTTTAACTAATGATAATGTAGAAAAACTAACATTTTAAATTCGGGACGGTCCACATTAATTTCGGGACGGCTTACCGATTGTATTTCGGGACGGTTCCGGGAGGATGGGGAAAAAAGTTAGTCGAGAGCCCTGCTTGCTATAATAGTTACACCCTGTACACATAGATCCAGAAAAGTGTGTGTGTTAGTTGTTGCCAGAAGCTACTCTATTTCACAGAAGCAAGGAAACTAGAGCTGATCCCTCTTCGTCTTCTCCACAGTAGCGTTTACTTTGAAATGAGTTGATTTTGAATGATCGTTTTGCACATTGCTGTACGACATGGACTCCGGTAAACATGCAGTACAGCATGTGTCCTGTTACTCTATCTCCTGGAAAAGATGTGATGCGTTCACTGGAGGACCAGTTTCTACGCTGAGCCAGATTGATGTGGGGAGGTGTGACACAGTAAGTTAAGTGCAGTCACTGCTGGAGGTTCCTGCGGGATGAAGGGAGAACTTACAGTGTGAACCATCAGCAGACTGGGCAGAGTTTTGAAGGTTATGAAGGTAAATGTTCAAGGGGGTAATGGTCTGAAATACAAAACGTAAACTTCTGTGACAGAAATCAACCAAAATAAAAGAGCTGAGGAGGAAAAAACGTGATTAGAAATGTTTCTGTCAGTAAATGACGGTCTTAAGATGTCGTAATTTACGCTTTACTAACTACTTGATGGATAAAGCTTCATTCAAAATTGCAGAAATGGCCACTCTGTTATTCTTTTTCGAGCCGAAGATAATTGTCTGTACTCCTTACGAGATATTCTCTCCTTGTCCACTACTTTAAGGGCTTGATTTCCTTCATTTATTTTGTATTATTATAGGATATTGGCTGAAAATGGGCTTAAATGTTAGGCTTTTTTATTAAATTCCCATTTAGTGTTGGATTAGTTAAGCATGAACAAGCTGTGATTTCAAAAAGAGTTTTAGTTTCACTTTGGAGTTAGAAAACAAGAAAAACACATGACATACAGTTTATGTAATACGCCCATTTTTGTCTGTCTCTTATCGTGTTTCTCAATGAATGCATTCTAAGGAACAGTAAACTTTATCACCCTCACTTTACTGCTCCGATGAAACCTTGCCAAACAACGTTGGCTGCTCATTCACAATAATGAACCATGTTTCCTGGCTGGTGAAGGAGTGTTCAGATTTGAGTTGTTTGTCTAGGTCATTAGCAAAATTCATGGAGGTGAATGACCTAAAGCGCTATCCAAAAACTTGGTAATTGTATACGACCGCATTGTGTTCCAAGTTTGAAAAAAACCTCTTATTGATCTTTAAATGTTCCCAGGTTCGCGTTTTATTTTAAAATCTATCCTTACAAAGAGATAATTTCCAATCTAGTCTCTTATCTGAATATAAGGGTGGTGATAAGGGACATTTGCCAAAGTATCTCTTGGCCCAGTGATTGCAATGCTTTTAAAGGCCCTATTGTGCTTTATTATGACCTTTCCTTACATTTACTTGAAGCACAATTTCAATACGGGGCTTCAAGGAAAAATACACACCTCAATTCTAATGCACTCCCCCCTTAACACACTTACCTGTGAGAGAGGCACTGCTTCAGCTCTAAGAGTCTGGGCTCAACATAGTTACAACACACACGCTAGTTAGTATTCTCTCATTAACAGCACACTGTAATAGTGCTTGTGTTTTGGCAGGAAGGCTTAACTGCACAAGGTTGAAAAGCAGATAGCGGAAGTATCAGAAGCGGGGGCTTTTATTGGTATTATTCACAGTGAAATGGCGAAATATTAGTTTTTTGGATACTTGGGCAACAATGGGAGCTGAAGCAGTGCCTCACATGTGGAGTGATATGTGAGCACCACTGTAAAGGTAACACAAAGGGAGGCTGCTGACAAATGTTTTACTTACAGCGAGAAGAGTCGGCCGTCTGTGCGCTGTTCTGAGGATTACGGTAGATGTTCTGGATCAAGATGGTCTGCGGGAAAAGTATTTGGTCAGACAGCAATATTGACATATAAATAATAATAATAATAACTTGAATTTATATAGCGCCTTTCATAACCTCAAGGTCACTTTACAAAGAAACATACAAGGACAAGACATAAAAAAAACATAAACATAAAACAGGGGGCAGAAATGGAAGTGTAACTGGGGGGGGGGGGGGGGGGGGGGAGTGAGTTATTGTTGGAAGGCGGTGTTGAACAAATGAGTTTTAAGGGTTGATTTGAAAATGTTGAGAGAAGGGGCGTTGCGGATTTCTGCAGGGAGGGAGTTCCAGAGGGTGGGGGCAGCGACACTGTAGGCACGGTCCCCGAAGGTGCGGAGGCGTGAATGGGGAATGGAGAGCAGGCCAGAGTCTGAGGATCGAAGGGTGCGGGACGGGATGTATGGGTGGAGGAGATCTGTGAGGTACTGAGGGGAGAGGGCATGGAGGGATTTGTAGGTGAGGAGGAGGAGTTTGTAGGTGATGCGGGACTTGACCGGGAGCCAGTGGAGGTTGAATAGAGTGGGGGTGATGTGCCTCCAGGGCTTGGTGCGTGTGAGAACCCTGGCAGCTGAGTTCTGTATGTACTGGAGCCTGTTCAGGGTTTTGCTGGGAACCCCGGACAGGAGTCCGTTACAATAAAGCCACTATATTGGGAGAACAACTTTACGGGCATCCTCACCTGGCTGAAGGTTGGTTTGTTGTGCAATCTCGAGCAGCGGTCTCCATGTCTGCAAGCGCCAATTTTAAAATAGAAGGAGCAGTTGACCCTGGCAAAGAAGAAAAAGTGGCATCATTTCGTACGTCAGTAAAACAGGAGTAAATAGTGTATGTAGTGTGAGCTACTGAGTATTTATGGTACAAGGGTAACGGTGTGATGTGTTTGTAACGACTTTTTGACCAGCATGGAGTTCAACAGAGATAATAAACTCCATCAGGTTTTAGATAAACATGCAACAGTGGTTTCCACATGGTTTACAATGTGAACAATCACCAGACTTATCCTTTAAATATTCTATTAAAGTAAAAGACCTATTACATTTCAACAAAATATTATTTGTGAGTAAGGCTAAGTGACATGAATATATAATTATCTTAAACATCACATAAGGGATACTTTTTGCTAATGCTATTTTATTTCTATTGAGATGTTTACATTTTGGAATGTTTATTTCTAGTCTTTTAATTTGTATTGGACAATGCCATGTCTGTTTATGCTGCTGCAAAGCAAACATTTCCCAAATTGGGATAAATAAAAGGACTTCTTATCTTATTTGATATATTTCTTTGCACCTCCACTAATGTGAATGAGTTAAATAATGCTTTTCGTTTAGAAATGTCAGACACACTACCCCTTGAACGAACGGCACCAATACTCACAACAATTGTCACATTATTGCTTTAAATGCATCGTAAACATATCATGATATTAACGTCTGTAAATTGCAATAGGTTAATTGTTTTTGCTGCACTCCACCGGTGAAACGAAACAGAACAATCCGCCTGAGCAAAGAGAGCAGCTACTCTGCTAGCAAGTTCAATAATTAACTAAGCGACACGTTACCTGGCTAATAAATAAAGCAACAAAAATGCTTCCATAATATTAAATCGTATATCAACAAACTCACTAACAAACTCACTAACAACACATTGCAAAATGACACATTTGATACAAAACGTAATCGAACAGCTGCAGGTTATCCGAGGTTCTTCCTGAGTTTCATTCAGCGTTAGCTTCCTGTTGCTAAAGTTAGCTTCACTGAGACATTCAGCAGCCGTGAGTTCACAAACTGAGCCCTGCTGACGACGAAGAAGAGCCACTGCAAAAATACTCTTGTAATAATCATAGTTTAGGGAATTCCTACAGTAAATATTGAATAAAACTTACTTGTCTTTCTCTGTGCCGAAAATGGATGCTAGATACTCCGCCATTTTCGGCTCGTCCAAGACGTAGTGACGTAATCTACGTCATTACGTAAAGGGAAGGCGTAGACGCAGCTACTCGAGAATCCGTGCTGACCCTGAACGCCACATGTCGCCGCTGTTGTACTAGAACAAATATATTTAATTCCCAACAACGATGATTTTCTTTTCATCTGAAATAAATATGTTTGTTCCTTTACTCCAATCAATTCACTTCATTATTATATTATTATATTATTACAATTATTCTGTTTTTGCTTACTTTACTTAAAGGGATAGTGGAAATGGAACCTCAAATAGTTTCGTTTTAACTTATATACAAGCATAATTACGTACCAAAACAATCACACCTGATTAAAAATATATAATAATTGCCTTACGCATGTTAGAAGCACTTTATTGCAGCTTCCCCGAAGTTTTTTAGAAACGAAATGTTCGACTCAGCCAAACCGGAAGTGACGAAAACTTAGGAAGACGATAAGATAACAAACCATGGCGTCTATGCAGAATTAACGTGGAAGGGCAAATATACCAGACAAAGAAGAAGGATTGTACGAGGTATCCAGTGATGATCGGCTTTCCTACGAAAATGTCGTTTTAGGAACTGAATCTGAATCCGGTTCAGTTAGCGACGATGGTGACAAAATTGAGCCAGACGATGGACCATTACGTCCTTATTTGTTCGAGCCCGAGCTGATGGTTCACGGCATGAGCAATGGCGAGGATGACCAGGAGCCAGATGATGCACCCCTACGCACAAATAATCTTGACTGGTAGGTCCCTAAGCATAGCTCACGCATCTTAAGATCACCTGTAGCCTTTACAAATATTAATCATTGTTAACCAGTTAAGGCCGAAGGTCCCCCCAGTGGACCCCTCCCACAGTTTTTTTTCTCTCACATGTCTCAGGGCTTCTTAACATTTATGAAACTATTAATGTTTCATACCCTTTTAAAGGTAAGAAACTCCGCTAACTGACAATAAGAACAATTGTTAGCTAGAAAAAACACAAGAGTAATACCAAGCCTTTGAATTAGCATTGAGCGAAACAATGCTAACTAATGCTAACGCTTTTTTACACACAACACACGGTAGAAATGCCCTTATATTACTATCTTAACTGCACACACAAGATATACGATTTAAAGCTGAGACTCCACAGATTCCACACATGTAATGTCATCACTGTAAGACCTCGAATTCCTGGAGCTATCAGCCAGAAAAGAGAAAGTAAACAACATCCGGTTCCAAAAATATTACAATAATTACGTCTTACCTTTTTTGATTTGTGATCAAAAGTTGTGTTCAACGGAATAAAAACGCATCTCAAGGTTAATCCAATGTCGTTGTGTCACGTAGAATTTTTTACTGATAATCAATCATCATATTTATGGCAATATACTCGGTACCATAATAAAGGTCGGCTATTCACATGCAAATGCTATTGAATGTCCGCCATTGTTTGTGCCCGTCTTCCTCTGCTCTCGTCATCACCCGAAGATTCCCGAAGTATTTCGTTTCATTGAGAGGGCGCAGTAAAATTGAAAATAAAATGAAACTAGGCTCATGAAATTAAAAAAAATTGTTTATTATGCTTATTTTTAATAAAAATACATAAGTTAAACCCAAAATTCGCGGATTTCCACTATCCCTTTAATACTTGTATCTTTTCCCATGAGGTGCAGGTTAAAACAACAGCAGGTGAGCTCCTAAGTATCTAAGCTTAGCTAAGTATCATACAAATCTGATGTACTTTTACTGTATTTGAGTATTTTCTTTTTTTTCTTCAGTTTAGAAAATATGACGCAGTATTATGTGAAGCTTTTCAGGGTGTAAACCGAATAATAATATTGTTTGGACATGAAGATATATGTTTAAATCATGTATAAGTGGTACCATTTTAATACTGGACATCTGTAAATATGCATTAATAATTCTTCTTTAAAAAGCAATATGAATAAAATAAACATTTTGTTCAATAGAAACGTATTATCTATCAAAGTGGGCTTTTAAAACATGAATGAGGCGGACTCATTGACAGGTAAGCCGTCCAGGCCGATGGGTTAGCCTGATAGTAACCACACACACACATCAACAGATTGGACATCAAAAAACAAGGCCACAGCGTCCCCACCTACCCAACACTGCACCGTGCATCCTCATGTAACCTCACCGCTGTGCACAAGGCCGCAGAAGTTTGCAAGAGAGGAAGATGAACGGAAAGGAGAGAGGGGAGGAAGTCAGCTTGAAGAGGCTGAACCACAGACACTGCAAAGAAGTGATGAAGACTGTCAATGTGCACAGATCGAAAAAGCCTTGGATATGAAAAAGAGGCATTACAACCTGTAAAGCTAAAGCTATACATCAGCACCTGAAAGTGTGGGAACCCCCTAACCTGAGATGTTTTTCTGCACTGGTAGGGAAACATTTAGAGAAGTGAGACCACCCACAGACGTTCGCTCCCCTCCAGTGCACCCACCGCCCTGGGAAAGAGCCAGAAGGTAGTGAGCTGCAGAGAGTAGAAAGAGGAAGCAGCATGTAGCTCCAACCTAAGCTTCAGCACTTCTCCGTTTTAAACTAATAATGAGGTGCTCCGAGGAACGTCTCCAGCTTAGAAGAACTGCGTCTGGAAGATGAGGCCGAACCTCTGCTGCACCATCCTTCATGTGTGCATCTGGGCAGAGCTGCTTCTCACCTTAAACGCTGATGGTAAGTCTTTTTTTCTGCATATTGTGCCGTCTCAGTGTCTGTGTAACTTCTCCTTCCTCCGTACGTCTGTTATGTGTTAAATCTGGCTTTTGGAGTGAAAGTCAGCATTGGGACCACTATTTTAATACTGTGGAGGCCAGAAAAGGTCAGGAACTCTTAAAATGCAACTACAGAAACAAGTTAGCCCATCTCCTACCTTCTTTTAACATGTCACATAATACTTGTCTTTGAAACTAAGTCTTGAATGTGAAAGATAATTGTAACTTCTCTGCTTAAAAGGCTTCTTTCAGGTAATTTCCATATCATGCGGTGTTTTCATGCGAGTGGGAGCTTAATGGAAACAATTAGAGATTTCATACAGACATAAAATGTATTTAAAAACATGGCACAAAAGCATATGTTCTAGCTTTATCAGTCTACCCACATCTCGTTTCTAGTTTCGAAAGTGTCCCATTTGCCGTACTGTATAAGAGTGGTGTCAAATGGCAGTGTGAAAGCTTATTTATTGATACGACCACAGTGTCATTTATTTATGTTAGTCAATGCTGTGGTTTGGTACTGTTTCCTCGTGGTTTGAGGCCAGATTATTATTCAATAGTGACTTGTGATGGTGGCAGTGAGCAACCAACAACTGAAAATTTACTTTTATTATCGCAACGCACATAAAGTATAGCATACGTGTGACAGAAGGAGGATTAACAAAATACAACATAAAAAAACATTGAAACGTCACTTTTATATAAAAAAAAAATCTGAGTTTTCTACCTCTACGATTATGAATGATGTTGTATCTGGCGTCAAGTTTTCAGAAATGTTACACACTTCACTGATTTAGTAATTTAAGGGTCATCTAGGTGAAATTCATACACGTGGGTATACATTTCCCAGAGACGGTGTCATTTAGGTGGGATTCAAAATGTTAATTTTCATAAAAAAATCTATAATCCGTTTTCTGTGTGTTTAATAATTTGCTCTCCAGACTAGACCAAGCTGACTGTTTGTGTTGTTGTTGTTGTTGTATATTGGATGTTCGTATTGCACTACTGTCATATGAATGTCAACCACAACTGCCATGTCATTGCCGCAATTTGGGGTTATGAATCAAGAAACAAAGTTTAATAGAAAAGAAACTGCTTCAACACTGCCCAAAAAGTCAATTGGACTTAAAAAGTCTTGAAAGCCATGATTTACCCGAACAAATCTAAAGTCTTAAACCTCAGTCTTTAATTAAAAAATATGTTTATGAGTTATGTTTGATTCCTAACATTTTCAACATCTACATCTGAAACATACAAAAGAGTATACATTAACAATAAGAACTTTTTAAACGCAAATTAATCCTTTCGGTGTTTTTTGTTATTTTGCAGACGAATGTTACATTGAAACTAGAGTACACGAGAATACATCTTATAAAGCTGTCGTTGGAGAACGATTGGAGATTAAATGTGGAGTTGCCATCTGTGGAGAAGCCCCACCAACGGTCGACTGGTTTAAACTTCTATGGTTTGAACGTGAGCAAACAGATGTCCCTGTCAACGTCAGCAGCAGCAGTCACATTAATACGCAGTGGGAACTTATAAACAAATCAGAAGGGATATCATTTCTGGTCTTTCCCAAAATACGTCTGAATGACTCTGGTGTGTATCAGTGTAAAAGTGGAGGCAGTAGCAGTCATTACATCTACGTCTTCGTCAATGGTGAGTGGGAATTAAAAAACTTTTCAAACATTGACACAGAACTGACTTACATCTTTACATTATGTAGCTCTTATTTCTAAATGATGGAATAATAAATGAATAAATGTTATCTATAAAGCCTGTCTTCACACCAGTAAGACTTAGGGTGCGCTCTGTATTGTGTCATAGTTGATGATGGACGTGGGCGTACCACTGTTCCACAGAAAAATGAGAGTAAGTCAGAAACATGCTCTTCACATCTTAATTTGAACCTGAACAATGCTTTCTTGTCTGTATTGCTTAGGTTTAAATTCATAAACTCTTTCACATTGAGTGACATTTCCTCTCTTTCTTGCAGGTAGCACACATTCTGAACCCAAAGTGGATTCATGGATGTACTTGTACTTTGCTGCTGGGATTGTGCCGTTCATCATCATAGTCATAATCATATCTGTAGTATCAATGCGTGGGTGTAAAGGTAGGAGGTGAATCAAAATCCAATCCAGGACATGTTGTGATTTTAAAAACAATGACTAATCCTTCCAAAATGTTTCTTGCAGGGAAATCAAAGAAAGAAACGTCAAGCGAAAACCAGGTAAGACACATTTCAAATGTAAGAGGCCAATGTGATGGTCGAACTCGAGGGACAAGATCAAGGCTAGTCAAAAGCATTGTCAAACATTTGAAAATGCTTATTTGCAGTACATGGCAATCCCCATGGTGGAGCAACCCCTCCATCACGGCCGCCTCCAGCCCTCGCCAAGAGGAAGCCCCTCCGCGTCGCCATGCCGGAGATCCCTATGGACAAAAACACCGCCCTTACAACCCAATGAGCTTCCTTTACCAAGAGACAATTACCCGGTGTACAGGATGATAACCAGGGACAGGGAGAGACAGAGAAATACGGCGGAGGAAGAGGGGAGTTCGATTGTGTACGCTGCTCTGAACCATCAACTTCCTGCCAGGGCTGCTCGGCCTCCGAGGCCCACAGAGGAGCAATCAGAGTACGCGGCTATCCATGTTAAAGAATAAACTAAAAGTATTTTCACAGAATCCTTAGTCTTCTTCTGACATGGATTTGCTCGGGGTCTTTGAATGTTTTGTGACGTTGCCCATCCAACACTTGAATGTACACTGCCGTCGAGTTACATCACATCTGATAACAGTTTCATGAGTTTTCAAACTGTACCATATGACTCATTTCATGACTATATGAATGACGATTGACCTCCTGTAATTTTGTGTTGTACAATCTTTCTTTAGGAACTTGAGAATGTAATTATTATCCTATTTTGTGCAATCAAATGTGTATCTATAACTGTCTGATTTGAATTAAGAACATATGTGATCACTGCTGACAAGCTTCTGAGTGTGTGTGCTCATTACATTTCCTCTGGGGTACTGTGGTGTGTATGTTGGGTAGGTGGGACGATCTAGGTGATTGAAAGCAGGAAGTCAATTAAACAAGGTCATTGACAGTTGCTGCTGTGATAGTACTCTTAAAGATGTGTACAGCAGCTTGTTGAAGCGTTTCCACCATGAGACCTCACTACTGCCTGACCGTCCTTGTGGCATCCTTACTAGTAGAGCCCCTCTTCACTCAGAATGGTAAGTTTTTGTTATTCAATCTACAGCTAAATACTCAAAAGGGCAGCGTTAAAAACCTACAGAAAAATAAACAGCATAGAATGTGAATGAGGTTATAATTCGAGAAGGAAGGGTAAAATACACGAGCGTCCATTTGAGTGGAGACCAATGAATGGCTGTCAAACTGTAATACAATATAGACATTGGATCTGTATTGCAGTAATTTAAGTTATATCCGTGCTGAATCATTATAGATTGTGTGAGTGGAGGTAGAGGTTGATGGAACATATTAGCCATTCTTCTAATACAAAGATATCAGGCACTAGAAATGACTTAAAATGTGTTTCGGCATTATATTCCTCCTCCTGAAAAAGGGCAGAGCAGCAATGTAATGATGTACTGTAATATCACTATCAAAGACGTTCGCTTTGAATTTCGGCCACATTGAATGGCACTTTCCAAAAAGAAAATGCCCCTCTTTTTGGGGATTTTCAGTCCCAATCCGAGCCATGGCTACAATCTCTGACAGTCAGTAATGTTAACTTAAACATATCTAACGTGGAAGGTTCAAAGTAGCACACATCTCAAGGTAAAAAAAAGGTGCGATGACCACAAAAACATCACGTCTGAGTCGCTGACCTGATTTTACAGTTAGAGGTCTGCAGCTGCAGCGGGAGAAAAAAACAAATAGGTTATCTGTGATCTAATTATTTAGTTATTGCCAATTCAGATCTAATGACTACATTAAGGGTCATTGTGTTTATAGCCTTTTAAAACACATGAACAGATAAAGACATCCACATATTGCATGCATCACCGACCCTGCAAACAACAAAACGCAGGGGAATGTATTTTATATTGCATTCTGGGGGTTTATTACAAAATGCAATAGATTATTATACAAAACGCAGGTCTATTTGGTATATAATGAAGCACAATTTATTTATTTTGTGTTAGATTATTAGAAAATGCCTTGCTGATACATAATGTGTTGTTGTAGGCCTTTACTATTTCCTATAATAATCATATTGAAGATATAAAGTCACCTTTGTTGTGGAAAGTAAACAATGTGAATGCTTTTCAGGTGACGTAATGGAGCCTGCAAAACCGGGTACGAAAACTTTATTCACTCTCTCCTATTCGGAAAAGGCTAATTTACATGCATTATATGGGCCAAAACAATCATTGTCTTTAACAACTATTCATTTGAAATCCTTTTTTATCTTGCAGAGAAGCAAGAATTGAGATCTTGGTATTCCACAATCCGTATTGTTGGAGCCGTGGTGTTTTTATCCATAATGCTAATGATTTTCTTCACGTCATGTTGGAGGTGTCATGGTAAGAATCATACAGTAAAAAATATATATTAAAAAATGCCACAAAACATGATTTCTTTTTTAATACAGTACATATCAATATAATGATGCGGCAAACAGTAACTCATTTCTTATGATGTAATCTGATTGTGCAGGAGCATCCGAGGACACAACACATCCGAGCCCTCAGAACTCCCATGATGCCTTGCATGCCACTCACATCTATGATAACGACCAGTAGTCCCAATGTGTGTGCATTTAAAACAATCAAATCTGTAACTTGTAATTGTGTTTTCATGGCCTTGACATTTTTATTTGTTTTACTGTTGACAATATATAATATCTTTCTTCATAGTGATGTGTTTACTGTCAAAAATAAAATATATATTATGATGCCTTTATTTTGTGCTTTTCGTATCATGTACATCCAGCTGTAATAACACAGAAGGGACATATTTGTGTGTGTGTGTGCGTGTGTGTGTGCGGCTGTGCTTTTTGAAGTGGAAAGACTGTCGAGTGACAAAAAGGAAACAGAATTAAAACCACAAAGTTTTTTACATTTAATATTAGCTTAAGCTAGTAACATGTTCCTGTAGATTTTGCAGTTTAAAAAAAATACATATGCAACAGGGAGGACAGATGCATTAAAGTCATCATTATAAAGCTATTTTCGTACACCGAAATATTAATATATGCTCTTTGCATTACCTAACCACTGTGCACTTGGCTGCAGAAGTTTGCAGGACAGGAAGATGGAAGGAAAGGAGAGGGGCGGGGAGGAAGTCAGCTTGAAGAGTGTGAACCACAGACACTGCAAAGAAGTGATGAAGACTCAGTCAATGTGCACAGATTGACACAAGGCTCAGCTATGAAGACAGGGGTATGAAGTCAAAGTAAAGGATTGTAAAGCTGTACTTCAGCAGCTGAAAGTGTTCCCATCATGAGAGCGAACATCTGCTGGATCATCCTGCATGTGTGCATCTGGGCAGGGCTGCTTCTCACCTTGAACGCTGACGGTAAGTCTTTTTTAGCATATTGACTTATCTCAATGTTTGTGTACCGTGTATAAAGGTACAACCTCTTCAATTTAAACTGAAAAAGTAGGTTAGTAGTGAGTAAATGTATACTGAACGAAAAGGTGGAAGCCGATGCCTCAGCATTTTACACCTGGATCTTCTACATGAATTATTTGTATTGTAATTGTTATTAAAAGTATACAGCTAAAACTTTAATATTGATATGTTTATTCAATATTCCCCAAAAGTCCAATAACATATATTCCTATAAAACTACTACTTCTTTTTTTAAAACATTCAGCAAATGCATTCTATGTGTGTTTTTTGTTATTTTGCAGAGGAATGTTACATTGAAACTAGAGTACTCGAGAATACATCTTATAAAGCTGTCGTTGGAGAACGATTGGAGATTAAATGTGGAGTTGCCATCTGTGGAGAAGCCCCACCAACGGTCGACTGGTTTAAACTTCTATGGTTTGAACGTGAGCAAACAGATGTCCCTGTCAACGTCAACAGCAGCAGTCACATTAATATGCAGTGGGAACTTATAAACGAATCAGAAGGGATATCATTTCTGGTCTTTCCCAAAATACGTCTGAATGACTCTGGTGTGTATCAGTGTACAAGTGGAGGCAGTAGCAGTCATTACATCTACGTCTTCGTCAATGGTGAGTGGGAATTTAAAAACTTTTCAAACATTGACACAGAACTGACTTACATCTTTACATTGTGTAGCTTTTATTTCTAAATGATGGAATAATAAATGAATAAATGTTATCTATAAAGCCTGTCTGCACACCAGTAAGACTTAGGGTGCGCTCTGTATTGTGTCATAGTTGATGATGGACGTGGGCGTACCACTGTTCCACAGAAAAATGAGAGTAAGTCAGAAACATGCTCTTCACATCTTAATTTGAACCTGAACAATGCTTTCTTGTCTGTATTGCTTAGGTTTACATTTATAAACTCTTTCACATTGAGTGACATTTCCTCTCTTTCTTGCAGGTAGCACACATTCTGAACCCAAAGTGGATTCATGGATGTATTTGGCTGCTGGGATCGTGCCATTCATCATCATAGTCATAATCATATCTGTAGTATTGATGCGTCGGTGTCAAGGTGAGATGTTGAATAAATATACCATACAGGAAATCATTGTGCTTTTATGAACAGTGACTAATTACCAAAACATTTCATCATGCAGGCGAATCAAAGAACGAGACGCAAACTGAAGTCCAGGTAAGACAAGGATACATTTCAACCCCTTTCATACGTGCAATGAAACTGTGGAATTATACATTGCCCGAAACGGATTTGCTTGGAGTAACGTCCAGTTTAGCCCAGATATGAATAAATAGACTTGCTCACCGTCTAAGTGGAAAGACAACAGCTACCCGTAAGGGCCGATGCTGAAATTGTCAGTAAAATTCAAGGCACAGAAAGAGTCTGTTATGATTTTGGGACCATGTTGGGCCTTATGCACGCATTACCTAGATGCTGCCCTTCACCTCAACTAAACAAAGTATTTCCAGTATACTGTACGAGAAACTGTCCAGACCAGGTTCTCCTGATATCTTCTGGAATTCATTTGAGAAAAAGGCTTTTTTTTAACAAAAGAAATGTTTTGTTTTTTTGAATGTTTACAGTACATTGCAATCCCAGCCGAGAAACCCATAGCACACGGCAGCCTCCGGCCCTCACCAAGAATAATTTAATCTGTGCCTCCATCTCAAAGACCCTTGTGGACAAAAATATCCTACAAAAAATGCAAATGACCTTCATTGTTGTTGTTTTTTATATATACTTAATTTGTTATGTCTTGTAAATTGCACTGTTGAGGAAAATGCCATCTAAGTTTTTCATATACTTTACATAATTACACCGTAGTTATGTCAATAAACCTTTGAATCTCTTGAAGTATGTGCTTTAAAACCACCTGAAAAACCAATTCACTTCAAGTATTTGTAACTTGTAACTTATATCTGATTTATTCATAGTTTTACGTTAACCATTGCTTGGCTTTATTATTATATTTTGTACTGTTATGGTAAATAATTTGGAAATTATTACTTTGCTTTTCGTTGACTTAAAATGTATACATTGACAACATAAATTACATTTCTTCATAATGATCTGTTTCCTTTCATAAATGAATATATATATATATATATATATATATAGCGTTGATGTTGCCTTTAAGCTGTACACATGAACAGTGAAATGTCCCATTTGTCTAGATAGTGTGTGCGTGCATGTGTGCGTGTGTGTGTACCTCTGTTCAAGTAGCCTTTCTTCTTGCCTACAGTATCAGTTGTGCTTTTGGTAGTAGAAAGTCTGTTGATGGACAAACTGGAAGCAGAATTGAAACCAAACGTCATAAACACATAAACATCGGTGAAGGCTATAGCTTTCTGTAAGCTACTTGTTTAGTTTAAAAACGACGGTGAAAGTTAGCTTAAACATTCCTATTAAAAGAAGATTAAGAAGAAAAAAAACATTAAATCATTAAATGCAAGTTTTTGCACACCAAACATAATTATTTGGCGTGTGGCGCATAAAGCCTTGGTGTTGGGATCAGGGGAGCACAGGTTCAAACCCCACTGCAGTCAGCATGTCGTTGTGTCCCTGAGACACTTCACCCCAAATTGCTCCTGCGGGGATTGTCCACAGTATTGAGTATGTATGTCGCTTTGGATAAAAGCGTCCAACAAGTATGTAATTTGTTGAATGTTGGTGCCAATTGTGTTAGCATTTTATTGAATGTATTCCAATGCCATTATTCAGTATTACTCACCGCTAACAAACAGGTGTTTAAGTACATGTATGTTTGGAGCACAAACCATTGTGTGGTTTTGATTTTACCTCAAGCAAAGATCCACTTGAATCCAGGAAATGGCACCTTTCACTTCAGACTGAAACCAGCTAGTGTCAATAAAAACTGAACCTGAAATTACCACAGGCCCCCTCGTGTGAAGAATAATTCTGAGAGTAATAAATCATTTCATTTCTACAACAATAAAAACCTTTTAAAGACAATAATATACATAAGATATGTGTGGTGACCACTGCCACTCAATATCACAGATTGCTCAACTTCTCCACAGGAGCAAAGCTAGCAATAACTAAAGACAATTAAAATAACAATTTTAAAAATGCCTCATTTAAGTTTATAAAATATACCTCCAATAAGCTCGACACCTAGACACAATATTTATATAATAACATAAACTACATATTGATTCCAGTGAACATTTTGTGGCAACAAAGCTGTAACCACACTGATTGTCTGATAATGTTTTTTAAGCTTTTATCATGAATACAATCTGTGTAAAGGGAAAATACCAGCTGGTTAAATAGCTAAAAACATGATAAAAACAGATTTATTGAAAGGCTGCGAATGAAGCACATGGAGGAGCGTGGCCTGTGGGACGTGCTACTCTGTGGTTTTGAAAGTGCTACAAATCTCACGTACTTTGCTGCATTACACACACACACACACACACACACACACACACACAACACACACACACACAACACCACACAACACACACACAACACACACACACACACACACACACACACACACACACACACACACACACACACACACACACACACACACACACACACACACACACACACACACACACACACACACACACACACACACACACACACACACACACACACACACACACACACACACACACACACACACACACACACACACACACACACACACACACACACACACACACACACACACACACGACTAACACCCCACCCAACAACTGCATCGCCCACCACGATGTCACATGCAGAGAGAGTCTTGTTGCCCGTTTAGTGTACAACAACTGTGTGCATGGGTCTGCTTCTAGCTTATATTAAATGCCAATATCTTTAACAGCTGTGCTTTTTTCTTTATTATGTTATTTTGGGGCAGTGTACTGCAAGTGGAGAATAGTGTATAACAATATTATGCATCACATTAATGCGGTGCAAGTAATAAAAACGATTCTGAAACACCTTTGAACAAGGGTGAAACTTAATTAAACATGGCCGCCATCTAGTGGTGTACCAGCAAAACTCTGGCTTATGTATTAAAAAGGCAGATATTTTCTAACTGTACTGAAACAAAGCCATACATAATTTTTATTATTTCCTGTCACTGTGCCTCCATTAACCCTGAAATTAATAATCCAACCTAGGAAACCTAGTTAGCACGGATTCCTCCACATAAGCCTCCATTTTTAAATGAATAGTCAATCTGTGGCTTCACTGACAGCAGTCAATATAAATATGTCGAATGCCACCCAGTGCCTCCAAGAAACAAAGGAAGGACTCACCCCTTCCTGGCATTGAGGACTGTGGAAACTGAAGGGAAA